AGGATGGGTTGTGAATAGATAACGATGATCATCCCCCTGATTTATCAGATGGCACATCAGCAGAGGATATCTCCCACAGAGATAAGGATCACCACCCCTCCTATATTTTCACAGATGGTGATAGAATACACATTTTTGCATTGTACCCCAGGACACTGTGATACGGGACAAAAGACCCGTAACAAATCCTGCACAAATCCCCCATCCAACACCAAAAAAAAGGGGGGAACTTGCTAGGTCCCAGGTGAATATTCCAGTAATGTTTCTGCCTTTACAGAGCTGCAGGTTCCTCCTAGTAGCCTTTGGGAGAGATGGGTTTCCCCTGAATACAGCAATGCATCTTGCAAAATTAGAAATTTTGCGGAACAAGAACTACTAAATAAGTTCTTATCAGTTTTGCAACAAAAAAATTTCCAACAGCACCTGAACTGTGACTGAATATTTAAAGTTTGCCTAATAGAGTAGTACTTTTTAGAATAAACTTATCCACCTTAAAAATTTTTACTTCCCTCTCTTGAAAATTTGTTTCATAAAACCTTTGCTTTCAGCTGTATGGAGGCTGTGAATTTTTGCTTGAAAGTGGTCTGTAGCTTCCAAGTGTGTCTTATTTTATGTGTTTTCAAATATCAAAATGCAATGTACTGTAACAACATAATTAATATCTTTACACACAAGAATATTCTTCTGTGTGAATTTCTGTCTTGTCACCAAAGACTGTTTCATAATCTAATGAAAAGATAAAGTGTCATTTATTTTGAGTAGGACTGAAAATGGATAATAAATATAGAAGTCAGCTAGTCATGGAACAAACAGAATCATGATGATTAAGTTCCAGCCTCATCAGCAAAGCTTGTGCAATTTTGCCATACTGTACAAATACATGCAGCAGTAAAAGCTGCATATATTCATTCCTTATGCTAAAATATTTTCATATGCATGAAACACCTATCACAAAATTCTATACAGGAAAAAAAAATCAATAAAATGTAAATGCTGCCTAATCTTGTACACCTTTATCTCATGTAGAACGATACTCTTGAGAGCATCAACATTTTTTCTTTGTGTCAAGGTACTTTTTCAGATGATGGTATTTAAAATGGGAGTTCTGACAGAACCTCGGTTTGAGACACCCAAAAATTGACAGTGTTTATGTTTATATGCAAATATGTGGATAGATAGGTAGATGTGTGTCTAGTTCTTGTAACAGGCCTGTTGTTAACTAAGATTTCCTGCTACATATCAGGTTTTCAGTTGCATATAATTGTTCTAAAAATTAACTGATTTATAAATTAACTTTGAAGATATTTGACAAGAGCAACTGGGTCATTCTAGCATAAAGTTAGGGCAAAAATTAATTTATTAATTATGCTAAAATATTCTCAAACCCTTTTCTTTCAGAAGCTGTACTTCCATTGTTCTAGTAATCTACCAGCGTTTTGAAATTTGGTAGTGATCTGAACAATATTTCGGTTACATGTTTCTGGGCAATTTTATGAAAATAATGAGAAAACTTGACCAAATTATTAGAAGCTGCTGTTAACACATGCCAAGCTTTGCATCTGAATTGCTTGAAGACTCAGCTTTCCTTGGCAAGGTCCAGCAATGATGCTGAGCAGAACCTGCTCCCAGCAGACTGAATCAGGGCAGCCAAGCAGAAGTGAGGTGCAAAGATGCTCATTGTTAAATTTGCAATCCCTCCTTTGCTGTGCAGCATGGGGAATGGAATAAAAAGTCGTGTACTTTAAAGATGTTCCCCTGGAGGAACAGGTGGCTGGCCAGGCTAAGGCAGGAAGGCAAGTAGTGAAAATCCATTATGAAAAAGGTTGGACTTAGGGAGAAGGTGTTGGGATAGTCAAACCCACTGATAAAGCACCTCCAGGTCAGTGCTCTCTAGGCATAGGATGAACCATGGAAGGATAGAAATAAGACAAGAAGTCAGGGAAGGAAGTGATGTGGCAGCAGGGGAAAACTGAGATAAAATAAGCTGGAGTCAGAAAAGGTAACTGCTTTTTAATGACAGTGGGAAAACCCTTGCAAAATGCAAAAGGAACAAGTAGAAGGCATGTTACAGCCTGTTCCCTTGCCTACCTGCAATGTACCTCAAGGCAGAAATGAGAGTCAGAATCAGAAATCATTGTAGTCTGCTGGTAGGTGACAACACAGGACTGCTGTGAGTATTTAGGTGACTGAAGTAGAAGAGGTGAGTGGGAATTTCACACTTTATAGTGGATTGGGTTTTTTCAGTTTGTGATGAATTTGCTATAAGTCAACAAAATACCCTATGAAAAGAATATTATTAGTTTTACAAATTCAAGTAGTGCAAAATAAAGGTATAATAAGAAGGCTAATTGTGCAGCTTTTTAGTATCTTTAGGTTATGTATGCTGTGATCCAATCTTTGACTACTTTAGACTACTTTACCACCGGTCCTCTGCCTTAATATTCTTGAAAAATGTATAAAATAGTGTGGGGAATTGGATGCAATGCAATTGCCCCAGTGCAATAATGCCTTTTACTGCTTCTGATACAGAACTGCTGTAGAGTAGTGGATTAGTTATTTATAGACTTTATGAAGACGACTGTTTTTTCCCGGTGTTTTGGTATGCTTCAAGCATCTTTTATAGAAATGCTGAGTGTTGTAGCTGAAACAGAAGTTAAAGCTTTGGACCTGTCAGATAATAGTGTATACCATCAAAATCGGCATGTTGCTGACTGGGACTTGGAGAAGGGAGAGGGAAAGCAAGGAGTCCTTTATGGACTACTGGAGCTCCTGTTGGGTACCTTGTAAAATATCAGCCTTGTGGATCCTCCTTCCCCAGAAGTTCTCTCATTTTAGGCTCTGCTCTTTGCAGACATTTAACTGGGGAGGTATTCTTTTCATTCCCAGCTTAACTCAAAGAATTTTTTTCCTTCTCTCAGGTCAGTACTGGTACTCGGTACTGACAGTACAGAGCAGCAACAGGAATGTCCTGAGTCTTAGTACTGACTTGTAAAAGAAGCCTCAAGGTTGTGTTCCATTTCGGAAGAAAGAATCCCCAGGAATCAGGACTTCCTGTATTTCTATTCTGAATATAATTTCTACTGGTAATTACTCTGAAAAATCAGACACTACATTTCTGAAAATTAATCCCACCAAATTATTAATAACTTGTGATTATTTGTAATTCAGTTTTCTCTTTGGAATATTTGAATAATTCCAGTTTCTCACCTGAGATGTTTAAAAGGGAAAAATCTTTTTTTTGCATATACCACCAAAGTAAGCTCCACAAAATAGCCCATAAATATTTTATGCATTCTGTTTTCAGAGAAAGATTAGAGCCATGTGTTCTAAATGAGATGTGAAACACGTATTTGACAATGAAGAGAAAGTAAATTATTCAACGGCTTCTGATAAGTTGACAGTGTATGGAATTGCATACTGAATGAGAAAGCAGCTCTAAAGAAACAACTATATTATTTGTTCCTGAATGTGCTCTCTTATAATACAGGTTGCAAAAGATTTGGTTTAGGAGAGGTATTTTGGCATTTCATATTTTATTAGCATTAGCTATCTAGCCAATAGTATTCTCTACTAATACAATTTT